TATAAGTGACAACTCAGTGGTAGTGATCGGTGCACATACTCAATATATATCATGTGATCAACATATATATTAATAACAGTAGAACAATAGTAACATCAGCATCATGGGTGGAACTAATAGTAAAGTTGTATAGTGGCAGTGATTTAGTAGCATGTTTTTTTATAGTCATATTAAACAAGTAAGTCCTGACCAAAGTGGTGTTTTTTAAGTATCAGTGTCATTATCAATAAACTGTTGGTTCAATAAATAGAGTCATCACCTTTTGCTCGGCGACACAGTAACTCTCAATCAGTATCATGTGAATTAGTAGATGATAACACTCAACCGTAATATTTTTTAAAAAAAAGCCCATTTTCCCACCATCATATGTGATTAATCAGTCTCCAACCAACATCAATAAATAACTAATCTTTACTTGTCCTCCCTCTGTGAACAGAAGAATATAAAAAACACCAAATTATTGAAAAAAAAAAGTTATAGATTCCTCATAGTGAGATGAGCAAATTTCCCAATAGGTGTGACCGTCAAAAATCACTTCGCAACTTCCAAATATTAAACTTTTTTCTCCTCTATTTTTTATTTCTCATTTTCCTTAAGTTACTCTCTCTTTAGCGGAAATGAAGAAAATGTGAAATGGATTTATTAATTTAAGTTAGTGGTTTAATATTTTTATTATAAAATATTAATATAGCTATTTCATTTATTCAAATTTTTAATATAAAATTCATATAAATTCTTTTGGAGCTTTAAAAATATAGAAAAATATTCATGAACTAAATCATTTTATTTAGAAAATATTAGTGAAATCGATTTGCAAAATAGGCACCCAAAAATCCCACTTGTACCGACAAAATGTCAATTTCTTTTTTTTAGCAGTGCCTAAAATTATGAAAAAAATCTTGTAATTAAAACACAATAATATCTATCTTATGGCGATGAAGGTTTTTAAATTTAACTTATAATTACTCATGAAAAAAATTTATTGATCTAATTTATTACACATGATCCCTACTAATTTTCCAATCAATGATGATTTTCTTGAACTTCCTATCTATTTCATCCCTTAGCAAAATAAAAACAGAAGAAAGAAGAGTAAGCCATCTAAAATATTCCATCCACAGTTCCATATTGGAAGCTATATTTTGATGGCTCATCCTCCATATGAGAGGTTAGTACCATGGCATATTGCTTGGGTTAATTAGGATAGGTCTTTATTTCATTTGGAGAATGGAGCTTCATAGTAATAATGTGAAAAAGCATAAATCTTTGATAGCTAAAAAGCTGCTAGAAAGCTATTCCAAACGAAACCTTCATATCTAACAACTACTTCCAGCTGGTTGAGAACAATTGCATTAACGACCATATGACACTCGAAAGCTTTAAATGACACACAAAGAGATAAATATTATACATAAAAAGTCTTACAGACAATCCTTTTTTTCTCAAAAAAAAAGAAAAACTGACGATTTCCTTTACAGAATTTGTCATCTGGAAAGCTGTAGATAAGCACAAAGGGATGTATGGGCCGCTGAAGAAATTCCAACCAGCTGAAAACCTGAAGCAAATATGGATAAGCACAAATATATCCACCTAAGCACAATGCCATGGCCTTATCCATAATGATTAAAAATTCTTTTATATTTCTTGAAGAATGTCACATGTGAATCTTTCTTGCCATTTGGCTAATTTCAGTGAATAGTTGCTGTCGTGATTCTGAGTCTTCTGGCTAATATCAATAACTTCTATCAGGTCAAACAGATCAAGGCCACATCCACCCTTCAATGGGATCTGCATTAATAGCCAAAATCAGAAGAAAAAAAATAAAATAAATCAAATTTAGAGGATTGGTCAGTTGTACAATGAGGTCTCTAGTGTAGAAGACATGAACACTCCATTGGTGCCAGCTTTCCAAAGCAGCTTTCTAAAACAGCTTTTTAAAAAGTTAATTTAGAAAGCAGTAAAAAAAGTTGTCTCAAACGAAACTTTAACTTGACGTCTTAAAGTATTGCCATATGAATTCATAGAATAGGTCTTACTGAAGATCGCAACGGTGATAAATACAACTAAAATTAATTATATTTTGTGTATGTTTATTCAAAAGATATATTTTTAGATATTGTTCTTTGAGTGAATGTTTTTGTTTACTGTAATGATTAAAATTTTTTAATATAAAAATGGATTTAAATTTTATTTTATTTTTATTATTATTTGTTTGATTTGCTCATTATCATAATTTTGATCACTTGATGACTTGGTGAATTTGTTTTGTATTCCTTTTCTATGTATCCAACTTTTTAAGTATTTGATTTGAATCTTAAAAAAAAATAAAGTTTAGTAATTTGAAATACCAAAAAAATTATTTTTTGTATTTGTAAATCACTTAAATTGATGATTTTTATATCTTGTGTTATGACCAATTGTGATTCTTGTGTCAAGCTTCATTGGAGATAGATTTTTTATTATTTTCTAAAACAATTTTTTAGCATAAAAATTTTTACACAAAAATATTAGAAAACAGTCATAAATAAAACCTTAATAAACATAGTTTAAAATTTTCTTCATCTACTTAAAAAGGAGCTAAGGAGTTGGATTTGAAGTTTCAAGTGCTAATAATAGAATCATAGTAAAAAATCTTAACTTAACTCTGCACGACGAGATGAGTTAGTGCTAACTTAGCCTGAAATTAACCAAAGTTTTTGATTTGGATATAATAATTTTAAAAAATTACAATTTAATTAGTTTTTCATGAAAAGTAAAATCAAATAATGAAGTCATTATTTTCAAGTTGATCTGAACCGAACTGATATGACCCACATCTACCAAATCTTTTTTCCAATCACTTAATCTGACCCAAACCCCAACCATAATCTTGTCCGGGATGACATAAAAGCCAAATTTTGAGATAGTAAGACCTCGTTTGGGACAACTTTCTTACTGCTTCTTAAAACAGTTTTAAGAAGCAGCAATAAAGTCGCCACAAACGAAGGAGAAATTATTCTGTGCGGAGACTAGACGCAGAATGCTGCCCGGAGATTAATCAGAATGCGCCACATAAGCGGTATCGAGCCACAGTACCGGGGTGACATGGCACATTCTGGTTGGTCTACGAACATCGTTCTATATCCGCATAGAATAATTAATCCAAACGAAGCCTAAATGATAACTGCACAGAACACAAATCCTTCAATACTTTATGTGAAAGTATCTAATGAAAGCCTAGATGATGTATGCAAAGGGGGGGGTCAACATAAGTTAAGTTTTTCTTGTATTGTGTCTTTTCATCTTCCCCCTCTACTTCTCTTCATTATCTTGTCTTTTCATCTTTCCCCTCTTCTTTTTGTCCTTTGGATGGTTGCTGGTTTCATGAGAACTTTGGCTGTTTTGGTTTGAGCTTAAGAAGTTAAACTTTAGTTGTGCCAAGCTCATTAATTTCTAGTGGAGAAGTAGCTCATTATGAGCTGATGTCTTGCTAAAAAGTTATTAAGGGAGAACTTGATTTGCTGGGTGGATTTTGCAATTTTAGATATTGTGGTTTGAGTGGATGTTTTTTTTTTTAGTTTAATGATTTAAAATTATTAATATAAAATTGAATTTAAATTTTATTTTATTTTATGATCATTTGTTTGATTTGCTCATTATGATAATTTTGATCACTTGATGCCTTAGAAAATTTGTTTTGCGCTCCTTTTCTATGTATCCAACTTTTTAAGTACTTGGTTTGAATCTAAAAAATACAAAATAAAATGTTTAGTAATTTGAAATACCAAAACAATAATTTTTTGCATTTGTAAATCACTTTAATTGATGATTTTCAAATCTTGTGTTATGACTTTTTTTTTGGGGACATTTAGGCCATTTAAGGCAAACTCACACACACAACGCATACACAAAGACTCGAATCCAAGACCTCTTAGTTGGAAGCATAAGCTCTCAACCAACAAGTCAAGGTGAGCTGTGTAATCTTGTGTTATGACCAATTGTGATTCTAGTGTTAATCTTCATTGGAGACAGCTTTTTTACTGATTTTAAAATAACTTTTTAGTATAAATTTAAATTAAAAAAAAATGATTTAAAAAACAGTCATAAATGAAACATTTAATAAACATAGTTTAAAATTTTCTCCATCCACTTAAAAAGGAGCTAAGGAGTTCGATTTGAAGTTTCAAGTCCTAATAATAGAATCATACTAAAAAATCTTAACTTAACTCGGCACGACGGGATGAGTTAGTGTTAACTTGGTCTGAAATTAACAAAAGTTTATGATTTGGATATAATAATTAACAAAAAATTACAATTTGATTAGTTTTTCATGAAAAGAAAAATCAAATAATGAACTCATTATTTTCAAGTTGATCTGAACCGAACTGATATGACATAGATCTACCAAATCTTTTTTCCAATCACTTAATCTGACCCAAACCCCAACCATAATCTTGTCCGGGATAACATAAAAGCCAAATTTTGAGATAGTAAGGCCTCATTCGGGGCGGCTTTCTTGCTGCTTCTTAAAATAACTTTTTAGTACCAAAATTAAAAGTTTTGTACTTAAAAGCTGTTTCAAGAACCAGCAAGAAAGCCGCCCCAAACGAAGGAAAAATTATTCTGTGCGGAAACCGGACGCAGAATGCTGCCCGGAGATCAACCAGAATGCGCCACATCAGTGGTATCGAGCCGCGATACCATGCGAAGAGGTGACATGGCACATTCTGGTTGGCCTCCGAACGGCGTTCGACATCCGCACAGAATAATTAATCCAAACGAAGCCTAAATGATACCTGTACTTTCTTAAAATGCCAGAACACAAATCCTTCAAAACTTTATGTGAAAGTATGAAATCAAAGCCTAGAACAACATGAAAAGCCCAAATAAATATCCAAATAAATATTTTATCACTTCTAAAAAAAAAAAAAAAATAGATCCTAGAAAGAGTTGTTTTTTTGTGATCAAAAATTTGGGTCCCTCTCCCAAATTTTTGATTACATCACTAGAACAGTATTAAAAGCCCAAATAAATATCCATATAAATGTTAGAACTGCAAAATTGCATAGAACTCTACATCTGACTTCAGTCTAATCTCAAATAAGTTTGGTGGTACATGCAAATATAAACACAGGTATACATGTAGCTCTAATTTTACAGAAAAAAAAACAAAGCATAAGATCATACTCTCCTTCAAGGATCTCACAAAGAGGTTAAACTGATGTGGTCTGTGATGAGAAGGATGTGCTAGAAGAATTGGATATGGTAGCCGCATCATCTACAAGACTTCCATCATCTTGGCTGCACCTTTGTTGTGAATGCAACGACATGAAAGGGTGCTTACTTGTTTGTTGCTTCTTATTTGGTTGCTCTTCCTCCGATCCAAATTCAAGAGGCAGAGATGGAACAGGAGAGTATATTCCATTCAAAGCAGCACTGCTACCTTCAGCTTGCTGTGCTGTAGCTGCAGCAGGAGCTGCTGCCGTTGGAGGTACCCAGATGCTTCCTACCAAGACAAAGTGTGGTTGATTCTGAGTGCTATTGCTGCTGCTGCTCTGAACTGTAACCAATGGCCTTCTCATATGTAGACGATATTTCTGTAACGGACAGGTGTTCTTCATGAATAAGAAAACTGAAAGTTTGAACTCTCATCCATTAAGAGATTGTTCACTTTGATCTAAAAACTTTCACAATTTTGTCCTCCAAATATAACTTTCTAGGAAGATTACTCCTATATTTAAAAGTTTTTCTACACTAATAAATTTATGGGATCTTACAAAGAAGTGCAAAGCATAAGCAGCCAAAAAATAGCTTAATATGGTAATTCATGCAAGTTTTTTAGCATAACCAGCCAAAAAAATAACTCAGAGATTCACAAAAGGCGCAAATAGAATTGTTTGAATAAGCAAAATTCTGATCTTTATTCAATTCTGGAATTCTACATCGCCTGAACTTGACCAATTCTACAAGGAGACGAGCATTAACGCAGAGGAGTCACCATGGAAAAGAAGCTTCTATCCGCTCATCACCAAATCATTAAATAACAATCACAGGCATTAATCAGTCATAACATAGTGAGGCAATAATGCATCAACCAAACCATCTTTACCTGCAAATGGGACTTCACCTCATCATTAGTGAGGCCATCCACCATCATCATCTCCCTGATCTGCTTCGGTGTTGCCGCTGCAACCACCACATAAAAGCAATCGTCTTTCAAAACACCAATCAAAAGAAAAAAAAATTCAGAATAAGCACTCGATCATGAAATGACGCAAATCTCACAGTGGAAGCCTCCTAGCTGTTCAAGAGCATTCAAGAATTTCCGATGCAAAGCAGGCGACCAACACCTCCTCTGCTTCCTATTAGACTGTGCAGTAGCCAGAGACCGACCCTCCTCCGCCTCCTTCTTCTCCAAATCTTCACCACCATCCCGTCTTTTTCCTCCTAATGTGGAGCTAACCGCAGGTGCCTCTGCAGGCGCCAGGACCGCCGGCATCAATTTGCTTTTCTCAAATGGCTGAAAGGCTCTGCCAACCCTCGTCGCGTTCACAGCCACCGGCTTCCTCAAAGTGCCCTGATCAAACAAACACCACCACAATTTGAGCACCAACAAATCAAATCAGCACAAAAAAACACCAATCCTTGCTCACCCCTTCAGCCGGCGGTTTATCAGCCGCCGCAGGACTCCATAACTGGGCAGATCTGAGCCAATCCTGCTTACAATTAGACGCTCCCTTCTCCATCACCGACTTATCTCCGAAAACCTCATCGCTCGTTACTTGCCGCTCCAAGTTATCAATCGCTGCTCAAACCAAGAAAGATAAAGAAGCAGAAGAAGAGCAAAACCCTAGAAACCAGCAAATAAGGCGTAATTTGATCGGCACCTTCGTTGACGAGTTGCAAACAGAGGGGGAGCTCGCGGGAGAACATCTGGATCTTGCGGCGCTCTTCCTCGAGCGCCGAAATGAAGTCGCTGAGCCTCTGTTTCCATTCCGCCATGACCATTGCCTTCACCAAGAAGGAAAAGAAGAACAATAAAAGAAGAGAGAGAGAGAGACAGAAAGAGGAGAGAGAAAGAGAGGAGAATGGCGGAGAGATAAAGGGTATCGAATCGGGGTCGAGGCGTCGCGTACGCAAACGAATCTTATAAGGGATGTGTCCTGAATATTCGGCGGTGCGATGCTGCGGATTCTCGTGGCCGCCTGGGCGGCCTTGTGCTGCCGCTGACGTCAGCGATCCGATCCGATTAAAACAACAATGGGCGGGCCGATCCACATACTTGGTTTGTTGGGCTTTTTTGGTCAGCAGCCCAACCCAATTCTATTGTAAACAAAACGGGTCCACATATTGCAACTATTAAAACTTTTTTCATTGTTTTTAAATTAACTCTTTAATATAAAAAATTTATGTTAAAAATTAGTAAACCTAAGAACCTATTTGAGAAAAAAATTATTATGTGCGGACAGCAGACTGCAACGGGAGATAAACATGAACACGGCACATCATCTTTTGCTCGGTATCGATGTTGGGTATTGCTCTGTGCCTGATGACGTGGTGTGTTCTGTTTAGTCTCCGGACAGTCTGGTATCTGCATAGAATATTTTTTTCTATTTGAGACAGTTTTATTGGGACAGCTTTCTAGTTGCTTGAAGATAATGATTATAATTTTGATTGACTATTATTTTGTTATTATTTTTCAAAAGGTTTTACAATGGAAAGCTGATTTTAGTAATCGTTTAACTATGTTATTTTTTGCAGTAATTTCAAAAATGATTTTATAAAATATTGCAGCAGTTCGCAACTAATCCTAAAAGAACATGATAAATAAATATGTATAACTAAATAAAATTATAGAAAAATTCAATATTTAGAAAATTAATAATTTTGGTTCATTCGGTAATTTTTTAAATATTTTAATTAAAATTATTATTTTTTGGACCCGTGAGAGCTATCGTTGGAGAACATGTCAAATTAAGGATAATAATATTAATGGTGGGATAAGATACTCAACTTTTTAATGTGGAACATGTAGTGCAAGTGGTTGTGCAAAATCAAAATAATAATAATAATAATAAAAGGGTTGAAATATTGAAGATTATGGGGGGTATAAAAGAAAATTACAGAGATAGTGAGAAGTTAGGAGAATATGCAGCGAATCGGGGAATCTGTGCGTCGGTAGAATGGAGATTCCATGAGTGAGGGGCATATTCGGGCTTTAGAGGGTCCTTCGAGATTCGACCAATTTTTTTAAGAAAGTGGGTGTTAAATGTAATTAAATAAAAAGAGTGTAATTTAAATTTAATTTAAAGAGCATAATGTAAAAAATATATATATAGGTTAATTTTTTGATTTTATATTAAAATTCATTTTGGTGTTTGTTTAAACTTTGATAAATATTTTGAGATATTTATATATTAAAAATTTCTAAAATATTTATTTAATCAAACTTAATATGTTAATTGGATAAAAATAATTTTTAAAGTTTTGTGTAAATAACTTTTAAAACAACTATAATTCTTTTTATGTATGTTAAAAATATTTATAAATTTCTTTTATGCCACTCGATAACATTCATTCTCGTTAGTAACTATTGGCCTTGAACACTATTGTTTATTGGATTCGTGGAGCCATAATACCTAAGAGCGGTTGTAAGCAAATAGACAAACTTGCCGCTAGATTCTTATATTTTGGCGACACTTCCTCTAAGAAGCTCCATCTTATTTCATGGGGAAACACCTGCAAGCCTAAGATGGCAGGAGAGGTTTGGGGATACCTTCATTGAATGCCTTTGCGAAGTGGTTGTGTGACAATTATGCAAATCTGGATGGGATTTTTGATGACTTGGACAATGATGTTGTCCCGTCCTGGCATTCCTTTGGATGGTCTTCAGGCAACCAAGGGAGCCACTTTATTATGAGCTCGCAACATTTTTACGAGAGTTTTTTTTTTCTACCTGAGTTCAGGCATTTTTACATTTATTCTTGTTTCTTTGGCTTTTGGATCTTGCTATAGGTTTTGGTTTTGCAGGTGTTGCTGTTGCTCTCGAGCTCTTGCTCCTTTTTGTTCGAGTATTGTTGCTCGCCTGTTTTTTTTTTCTTACTTGTAATTGTTTTTTACTTGTTTAATGAATGGGCTTTGCCCCTAATTACCAAAAAAAAAAAAAAAAACTATTGGCCTTGATGGACGGCTTAGGCCATCGTAGCACATGCATAGGAATTCAATCATGATTACTGTGGGTAAATAAAAAATTAGCTAGATATTAGATCTTACTATGTTCTTAATAATGATGCATTAAGTGCTAAAAATATATAGGATTTTTCTTGTCCCATTCTTAAAAGGACACATACAACCGCCGAATTTTTTTTTTTGGAACGGGATAGCATCTCAGAAACCTTCTGACCTGCATTTGATTGTGCCCAACTTAAGAGGCACTGCCACTCGAGGGAAATCGAGCACTGGTTGTGGGGTTCCCAACCGTACTCGCCCACCAACCAAGCTAAGCAATGGTGGGTCAACCACCATATTTAGCTCTCAGATTTGTTTTTTTTTATTTTTGTTATATTGATATCATTATTTTAATAAAGATCATAATAAAATATTATGAAGATTATATTTGAAAGCCATGAAAAATGCATAGTGATGCTTCCCCTATAAATATCTCTTGCACTGAATAAAAGGAAATAGTGCGAACCATCAAAAAAATTGGTTTAAATACGAACCTATATCAATAATGAAGTATCATATATGATGACTTTATATTAAGCTTGTATGCTTAGTTTATGAATGTACCACTTCAAAAAGGTAAGAAAAAATATTTTATCCTGAGCATAGTGACAAGAGATACAACAATAAAGTCAATTGTAATCTTATGATTACTAAGGTTTCATTTGGGACTGCTTTTTATACTTCTTAAAGCAGTTTTCTAGTACAAAAATTTAAAATTTTGTACTAGAAAGTTGCTTACGAAGCAGTGAGAAAAATGTCCCGAACAAAACCTAAATAAGGTCATCAATTAAGATAAACTCACATACGCAACCTTCGAACTCAATATGTATTGATTGGGAGCTGGGGGGTGCATTTAGGCCAATCCTGACAAATACACACACATCACATACGTAAAATTTGAACTTAATACTTCTTGATTGAAAGCCAAAACTCCGAACCAATAGACTAATTAAGAAAAAAAAAACTCCGAACCAATAGACTAAAGGCAACCTACATTTTAATAAACCCTTGACAAAAGCATAAGTCTTCTAAGAGTCAAACTTTGCTTATTAAGAATAGTTTATTATATTGCCAAATTTATTGCATTGTGTTAAGAAAATTGTGGATCATAAATAATAATTAATTAGTTTGTTAGATTAAGAGATTATAATAATTAATACTCTTTAATGGGCTTGCTTAGAAAGAAATGTAACAGTTGTTACTTAATTCTTTTCAAAATGCTTAGTTAGCTAATCACTGTCAGATTATCTTTGTGGCATCACTAAAATTAATGCATCATTAAAAGTTCCTCATGAAAGATAATTGAGATTTTTTTTCTGAAAAATTAAAAAAATTAAAAGGGAGAATTGAACCTATATCACCACATTCATATATTGTTTTTTTAACTTTAATAAATCATGAATATTAAGATCATCCCCCTAAAAAATCCTTTAATGATTTATTTATGTATTTTTTATTTTTAATATTTAATTTAAGCCTTATTTTTTATATTAAAAATAGTTGAAATTTTAAAAATTCATGAATATATTTTTTAGGAGTGTTAATTTATTATTTTGAACCTATTCATGCCTTTCTATTCTATATTTGGGCTAATTTAGCATGTAATTGGTTTTTCTTAGCTATGTATCTTAATTTCATTCAATGATTTTTGGTATACTAATTAAGAAAAATCATTTTCAGCATTAATTTCAATTTGGAATCTAAAATTAATGCATGTTAATAATTTGCTTGCATTTTATTTTTTTTATTTTATTATTTCTAATAACTATTTAAATTTTAGGATAATTATTTTGAACAATTATAAAGAACTTGGTGGCAGATCCATTCACTGTGAAGAGCTCAGTGGTCATTAATACTCTTAAATTAGTAGTTCTCTTTTAATAATCCTAATTTTCCATAATTTAAGAAAGTTATTAAAGTTAATAAAGTTGTTATTCCAACCACAAAAAATGAAAAAAAAAAACAACATACTAATAAAAAAGCATTTCAAAATAAACAGTAAATTGAAGAATCAAAGAACACATGAATGTGAGGAGGAAGGAGTAGAGCGAGGGCCGAGGAGAAGAAGTGATGAACTCACAGCAGTGGGTCGGAGAGGAGTCGGGCACATTCTTCTTCTGTTCCTTCTTCCTTGCGGCTTCGCGATACAAACGGCGAGTCAGGCAAACAGGAAAAGCGTAGAGTGTTTTTTATTTTTTATTTTGTATAAGCTTTACCTTAGTTAATTTTAGGCCATCTGATTTGATCTGAACGACTCAAATTATTTTTCAAATGAACCTCACGGTTATTCAAAATCGGAGCCGATTTAGTAGTTCAATGATCGAACCCCTGGTTCAAAAGGTTTTGTAGTAAACTATAACCGATTGGCTAGCAAGTTCACGATTCAACTGGTTGAACCAGCCAGTGTAATTTTTAAAGCTTAGGAAAAAAACCAAAGCATAGGAAGTAAAATGGTGATCTCCCATATACCTATTGGAAGTATTTTAATAATATGATTTAATTAAGAAAATAAAATGAAAACAAAAGGGCTATATGAAAAAAGAAAAAATAAATAAAAAAATAAAGATGTTTGATATAAGGTTTATAGGATTGTGATAGAAGAGATATTTGAATGGTGATAAAATGATAATTTATATTTTGGATAGATTTAGAGATAAAAACACACCTTGAAAATTTATATTTTATTTGGTGAAAAATAACAAAGAACTTCATACTAAAGATTTGGGACATTAGAGAATTAAAGGTAGTGCATTTTTATGATTTTGGATTAATAGTTGAGAAGTTACGTATTTTGAGACACCAATTGATCGTCTCTAATTTCATGCACATTAAACTTCTTTAGCTTCTAGGTCACCCAACCTCCCCCTTATATCAAGAGGAAGACCACACCAACCACCT